TACCTTTCCATCCGTGGTGGAATTTCCACTTGGAGATAGAAACTTGGCAGGTTAAAGGCATACAGACTCAGTGGAAATATAGACTTAGCCAGTTATTTTGAACCCCAGCAAGTATATTCTGATTTAGCCAGAATTTGAGACACCCATCCTTTTGAGCCTGTTCATTCTTCTGTACTTACAGTCAGTTCATGGCATTGTACTATGGAAGCCTTCTTTTTTAAAAAAAGAAATGTTTCCTTTTTTTTCCACAAGAATATCTTCTCTTCCACTTACGTTATTGTATTTATAACAACACAGTACTAATATTTTTTTGTCAAAAACTCCACATAAGATGACAAGACACAGAGTTGAAAAGGGATTGAAATGTAACATGCCTTACTGAAAGGGATTGTGTTTGCCGTTTGCCTCTATAAAAATCTGTAGATGAGGGTTTATTTTTTTTAAAGAAACCTCTCCTAACTACATCTGTTAAGACAGTGCTTATACATTGCCCTTCTCATATAAACTGGCCATCAATAGTTCTAGATAACTGATTAAATACCTCTTTGAACATGCAAGCAACTAATAAAATTAGGTATTTCTGTTTAAGGACAGATTTACTTAAGAACCGCATAACTTCTGATAACTGCAGAACAGTTTAACTTCAAAATTTTGTAGACCTCGTACTTGTTGGGGTTTTATTTCCTCTCTCTACTCCGTAATTATTGTGTCTTTGCTAAGATTTGTGCCTGCACACTCTGTCTACAGACTTCTCAGGTTTTCTTACTTATTTTCTATGTATGAGGAAACTCGTGGAGGAAATAACCATATTTATGTTCCCGGGTCTGTGCTATTTGCTTGTTTTGCCATACAAATACAGCATGCTTAAGCCATTATTTTCAAAGTTAGTGGAAATAGGTTCTGATTGTTCAGCAGAGTTGAAACCTGGGTCTCTCGCTATTCTGGTTAGCACAAGATACCCTTTCTTTTAAAACTTTGATTATTTCTGAATGCCTGGACACAGGCACTCAGCTGTGCATCTAGCAATGGATATAGTAGGTCTCCACCTTGTCTAGGTAGCACCAGCACTAAAAACACTTCCAGGGAAGCAGCCAACACAAAACCTAGAGAATTCTGCTTTAAAAAAAAGGATGAAGTCATATCTTTAGAGCAAGGCTGTAAGATAAGGGGAAGAGTCCTAATACAAGAAAAACAAGGGTGTGAAAGCAGCAGAAGTGCAAGCCTGTTGTCATAGCAGCACAATGCTGCAGGGCTAAAATGTATCTTATGCGAAAACAGATGAGAATTAAGATACGCAGGTAAGATCTGGGCAGAGCCAGGGAAGAGGGAAGATAAATAGCATGCCGCAAGGACAGCGTGGCAATGTGTGCAGGAACCCCCCTGAGCTCCCGGTGGCACCAGGCAGCAGCTCCTCGGCAGGGTTTCCGCAGGAGAGAGGGTTTGATGTCAGGGTTTCCGCAGGAGGGAGGGTTTGATGTCCCCGCCGCCCACTGGCCAGCAGCTGGAGCTGAAGTCCTGAAGTTGCTTGTGCCTGGGAGGACAGCCACATCCCGCTGGTGCCGGCCAGCCCCTGCCCTGCTCCCGCAGCGCTAGCGCTGGCCGGGACGATGCCTCTTGCTCTCCCTCCTGCCGCAGGCTGCGGTGGGGTGCTCCTCGCCACCCTGCCACAGCGCCTGCTGGGAACCCCTGGGGTGCGGGCTGCGTTGCCTCTCCTGCCTTGGAAGGTCAGACCTCGCCTCCTGCCTGACAGCACACGGGGATGGATTTTCTCAGGACGTAGCGAGATGTGTGATGAGCGATGTCACACCTCCGGGAACCCTCCAGGAAAGTGCAGCAAGGAGACACCGGAGGCCAGGGACCTCCAAGCATCACAGCCGCAGAGGCTAGGCCACCGGCATGCCAGGCAGTGCCACAAGGCTTGAGGAGAGCTGCTGGGGCTCCCCAGTGGCCACCTTTGGACTTCCCAAAAGCTGTGGCTGGGCCCAGCCTTTAAATTGGGGTTTACAGCAGGAGATCCCTCTTTCTCCTGTTAGAAGGGAGAGCAAGGAGCTGAATCATTAAAGTGATGGGCTATGAACTTGAGGTTTGCTAGCAGGGAGGAAGGGACTGTTTGTCATACTTAGGATGGAGGAGCCCTTGACAAGAGCCTGCACCGTGTCTCCAGTCCCCTGAGAAACAGTGTAAGGATGGAGAAGTGTATGTGGAGAGTTCTGGGGTGCCTGGAGAAGGTCACTGGTTGTGGACCTGATGTAAGATCAGCCGCAGGAGTGAAGTTTTCTTTTTTTTTTTTTTCCCCAGTTATGAAAAATCAATATTGGAGCTGCACCCTGCACTGCTCAGAGGGGTTTGTGCTGCCCAGAGGTCCCATCCTCTGGCAGTGATTGGCCCAAAAACTGGAGTGGGCTTTTTTCAGAGGGACAAATTCAGGCAGGATTACCAGGGTGATTGATTGTCAGAATTAAGATGGTATTGATTAGAATAGCTTCTCCACTTTAGATTAGGAAAGAAAAATCATATCTAGCAATTTTCTGTAGCTACCAAGGAGGCAGATGGAAATGTAAATGCACGCACATCTGGCACTTCGAGCACTAATAGTTGTCCCTCAGCTGATGACTTGTAGTTTGAACAATTTGTAGATTTTATTTACAGGAAAATTATTTGGAGAAAATATAATTCACCATGCTTGGACAGCTGAAAAAATGAGATGCAAAAATACACAGCTTGCATAATTAATATCTTAGTGTCTCTTCAGGAAACCTGGTTGTAGGATGGCTAAAAGAAAAGCTCTGCTACCCACAGCAGTCCTTGCTGCATGCTCTCCAGCTGCAACTCCTGACGCCTACCGCGAGCTGTTAGGATCTGTTGGCTTCCTCTGCCGGGTGTGTGCACGCTCTGCACCGCTCCGCCAGACTGGCTGCGTCCGGAGCCTGCTGCCCACAGCCCCCCTCTGAACCTCTGCCCTGGACCCGTGCTCTCAGATGGATGGCAAGGAGTAGCCCTGTGCAGGGGCTCCCTCACCTTCCTCTCTGCAACTTCTTCTGATGAAAGTACACTCTTAATGGTTTAATTCTGCCCATGTCTGCAGACCCCACAGTGTTTTCTTTCATGAATTAGGCTGGGAGCTGTGCAAGTCTTTTCCGTCTCATAACCCTTTTACATTTTGACTGAGGACGTCTCTTGAAGTGAATTAAAAAAGCACTCTGCGAAGATACAAAGTGCCAGAGATTACTGAGATCATAGAAAAAATGGAGAAATTTATAGCTATCCATTAAAGGCTTTTCTCCTCTTCATTTTCCTTGGCACAAGTTACCTGTAAAAATTATCAAAAGGGTAAACCAGCTTCACATGAAAATGAAGCCTATATTTAAAATCATAGTCTTCATCCTGCTTTCTAGTTTTTCGGTCTTGAACCCAAAACAGGGATGAGATTCTTAAGCAGTAATAGATAATACATTCATTCTTCAGTTTATTTTTGAGCCTTCTAAGGCTTTATTTTTCTTTTTTAATGTTTTTTTTTTTTAAATCACAATCCTTCAGGCTCCAGGGCTCAGGGAAGAGCCAGACTTGGTGAAAGTGACAGTAAAAAAAAAAAATTGTAAGAGTTGGCAGCAGTCACTAGAATGAAGCTTATTTTTAATTTGAACCATCATATGTAGACTGAAAAACTAAATGGAATCAAATAATAGTAACAACAACAAAAAAAGAAGTAATATAGCATTGCACAGATCTTACTCCTTTGTGTAAAACATGTCTATGTGCCAGATGATTTGCAGTGCAGGAGGACATCTGAGTGTCTATCTAGTTTTGCCTAGTTGGCTGTTCATTGGCTGTGTGTCACATAACAAAGCAAAGTCAAGTCCTTATGATGAGTGATGTCCCCTATAAAACACTGCGCATCGCTTCTCAGCAGCAAAACCAAACATATTTTTGTGGTATGTATGATAAGCAGGAGGTGGTTGTACACATCCTTAAAATGAAAAATGTGGCTGCGACTCTGATTCAGCTCTCACGGGAGTCAGGATGTCTTTCCATGAGCTGGGAATGGGAGTTTGGCAAGACCAAAGTGTCCCGTTGCACATTGCTGTTGCTCTCACCATGGAGTTTCCCTGGGAGCAAAGCTGTGCTGCCAGCAAGGTGAGACCCACGTGAGACACCAGTGGCCATTGCTGGTTTGCCCATAGCTTTTATCAGAGTAGCAGATTATGTAACGTGGGCTTAAAGGATTTCTGGGATTGGACCATTTTGCAAATGAATCAGCAGTTTCTAACCCCTCCCTGCTGGGATGGGATCTGTTTGCTTCACAGGGAGGCTGCAGAATTTTTGTTACCTGGTTAAATTGACAGAATTCTGGTAATACCTGCCCACTTTTGAATTAAAGAAAAGACTTCTCAACAAAGCAAAGGGGCTAGAGGTTTTTCTCATCCCTTGTTGTAGCTTCCTGCATCTTTTGCACAGACTTAAGAGTAAAATCAAGCTTTCCTTTCTGTCCTGGATACAAGTACAAGCTCTTTGCATTCAGATTCAGCATTGCTGCCACTGCTTAAAGTTGTGCCAAGCTCTGCATAGGGAAGAGCCATCTCACAGAGCCCGATGTGGGGTTTGGCCATCCCAGAGCAGCCAAACTGAGCTTACTGGGGGACTCTGGTTCCTGGTACCTGCCTTCCTGTGCTAATGGCAGAGATAGGAGGGCCAGCAGCCAAAAACAGCTTGAAGAAATCTTTGCAGCCTTGGTTTTCTGAGGCTCTGGAGTAAATGGCTTAGCTCAGGATAAGTTAAAGGATTTTAGCTTGTGCTTCCTGGCATCCCCTTCTGGGCCCTCAGGCAAAGCCACCCAGCTGAGCAGTGCAATTTTGCCACCTCTTATCTGTCAGCTGTACCAGAGTTGGTGGCTTGGTGTGAAGGCATGAGATCGGTACCCTCAACCTGGAAGTATTTGCAGAAAGGGATTTGTCTCCCAGTTGAAGGCATCTCTTTTCCATGTCTAAAATAACTGAGTGAGCATGGGTACTAGAGTAAACAAAGACCAGGACCAAGATGTTGCCAAATGCAAACAGCTGAAGGCTGAAGGAGGAGAAAACACTGTTCTAGAAATCTCTGGTGTGGTACAGGGCACACCCAAACACCATTTTCAGAAGAGAGAGGGGAACTGTAAGCAACGGTCACTGTTTAAACAACGAGAGGAGGAGGTGGAAGTTATTATTTTGTGCCTGAGTGCTTTCAGGGACAGCGTGCCACTGTGGCAAGGGAGCTTAGGTGATGCTGTCTAGCTCTCATGCTGCAGTGCTCTGGCATCTCACTGGTAAACTGTTTTTTTGGTTCCTTCCACTGTTATCTAGCAGAAGAAGCTGTGAGTAATGAGCAAGCAATGCCTGTCTCCCTTCAAGAAAAAAACATTCATTCAGCTTTTGTTATTCCTTTAAATCTCCCTTTCTCCTAATAGGATCTGTAAGGGTAAAAAAACAGCTGGATAAGTGAGACTCTATCTGATAGTCAGTCATTTGTCCCAGTACTCAGGTGCCAGGTTTATTCGGAATATTGTTACTTGCTCTTAAAATCTCCTGCACTGAGGAGTGCAGTAGGCATTATGCATTAGCATATTGCTAATGTTGTCCTCATGACACAGCAGCCTTTACCAGCTCCTGTTAACAAACTGAAGTTTTCTGGGGGACCTCCTGACATACCACCATAGGCAAGACTGTGTAATTCCCCTGAACTCTTAGGATGTGCCCTCATAACCTCTGCCCTTCTGTGTTCTGTGGATGCCAGTCACCTGAGGCCGTGGGTGTGGGCTCTGCCTGCCTGGCCACAGCTGATGTCCAGCATGGCAGCGGAGAGGAGAGAGGGGAGGAGGGGGGAGAGGGGAGGGGG